TGTTTTTTCTCTTTTTAAAATTACCCTTGTAGATTTTTCTACCTTCAGGAGCCAGCTTTGAATTTCTTTGCTAATTCTGGCTCATTTCTTTCTTCTTTTTTTGACCTTGCTATTGTTTTCTCTAGCTTCTTTAGTCAAGTTAGTTAAGCTCATTTTATTTTGCCTTAAAATCTGCGTATCAGTCTGCTAGGGCTGCCATAGAAAGATTCCACAGGTTGGGTGGCTTCAAAACAGCAGAAACTTATTTGCTCACAGCTCTGGAGGTTAGAAGTCAAAGATCAAGATACTGGAAAATTCATTTTGTGGTGCGGTCGCTCCTCCCAGCCTGCCGATGGCCACCTTCTCCCTGTGTCCTCATGGCCTTCTCTCTGTGCTCCAGAGAAGTGGCGGAAGTGGTAAAGGTTATCTCTGGTGTCTTTTCCTGTTCTTGGAAGGCCATAAATTCTATTAGATTAGGGCCCCATCCAGTGACTTCAGTTAGCTTTTATTACCTCCTTAACAGCCCTGTTAAGTACAGTCACATTGAGGGTTAGGGCTTCAGCCTACAGATTTTGGAGGGATACAATTCAGTCTGTAACGATATGATAAAAGCATCATTGCTATGAATTTATTTCTGAAAATAGCTTTACCTCCCAAGTGCATTCTTTATGGTGTTCTCACTATTCTCTATTGTTATTGTGTTCTTGTTTCCTTATTGATCTAATAGTTCAGTGGAAAATGATGGTGCCTTTCCCTTGTTCTCTAGAGTTTTTTATAAGCCCTATATTTTAAATGTTTTTTTTTTTTTAATTTTTTTTTCAACGTTTATTTATTTTCTTTGGGACAGAGAGAGACCAGAGCATGAACGGGGGAGGGGCAGAGAGAGAGGGAGACACAGAATCAGAAACAGGCCCCAGGCTCCGAGCCATCAGCCCAGAGCCCGACGCGGGGCTGGAACTCACGGACCGCGAGATCGCGACCTGGCTGAAGTCGGACGCTTAACCGACTGCGCCACCCAGGCGCCCCTATAAGCCCTATATTTTAAAAGCTAATATAGCAACGTATAATATTACGGTCATTGCTTTGATATTTTGAATTTATTGAAGTGATAGTCTAATAGAATAGTTCTCAATTCTAAGGGACAATTGGGTATGTGCAGTTTTGGTTGGCATAATGACGTGCAATGGGGGACGGCTTCATCTAGTTCCCAGGGGTAAGTGAGAATTTCTAGATCTCCATACAATAGGCCAGCCATGAGGAAGTGTGTGTGTGTGTGTGTGTGTGTGTGTGTGTGTGTGTGTGAGAGAGAGAGAGAGAGAGAGAGAGAGAGAGGGAGAGGGGAAGGGGGGGGAGGGAAAGAAAGAGAGAGAGAGAGAGAGACAAAATGAATTTCAGGCCCTGTCTCCCTCTAAACGTGGCACACTGCCTTTGCTGCTTTGCAGCTGTCACGTGTAAATGTGGAGCACTGTGTGTGGAGTCTTCTTTCAGAGTTCCAAGTGTGCAGTGAGGCACCTGGCTTTCCTCGTTTTCTATGGGTGTGTGTGAGAGGGTGTCTCAATCCAACTTCAGGATTTCACCCACCTCCAAGGGAATGTGTACCAGGAAGCAGCTTCACACTTGTGTCACTTGTATCTACTCTAACCTCATTTCCTCCGATGCTCTTCTGGGTCCTTCTGCACCGTGTGGGATGGGCTTTGATTTCTTCCTTAGGAGGCAGGAAACAACTTAAAATCACATCCTGCAATCTTTCTCTTGTAAGGCTCTTATTTAAAATGTGCTCAGTCCCTCACACTCTGGCTCTTGATCTCCGAAGGGAGATTCCCCCAACTCCCCCCAAATAAATGTTTCTAGTGAGGAGAGGAATTATTAAAAATTTCCTATTAAATTTAATTTTGATATAATTTCAGACGTCAAGTCTCAAGAAAAGTCCAAAGAGTTTTCAAGACCTTTATCCAGATTCTCCAAGTGTTAACATTTTACCACATCCTCCTCTGTCTCTGTCTGTCTCTGTCTCTCTCTGTATAGATTTGTCTCTCTCTTCACACAAGGACACATGTATTCACACACACATGCACAAATCAGGTAATTAATGTTGATTCAATACTATTATTCAATCTACAGGCCTTATTCATATTTTGCCAAGTGTCCCGCTAAAATCCTTTGTAACATAAGAATTTAGTTGTCATGTCTCTTTGGTCATTCTTTGTGTTTTACGGCATTGGCGTTTTTGAAGACCATAGACTTGATATTTTGTAGATTGTTACCCAGTCTGGGTTTGTTTACATTTCCACAAGCTTAGGTTCATGTTATACATTTTGGGCAGGAATCCCACTGTGTCCTCCAGGGATCCTAGCAGAAAGTGCATGATGTCAATTGTCCCATCACTGTAAGGTTAACCTTGATCACTTGGTTGAAGTGGTGTCTTCCAGGTTTCTCCACTGTAAAGTTAGTATTTTTCCTTTTTTACTGAGTAAGTTCTCTCGTGGAGATATACTCTGAAGCTATTCTGTCATTCTTCAAAGTTTCACCTGCTGCTTTTATCATCTATTGGTGATTCTTATCTGAATCTAGTATTATGATGGTTACCCAATGGCTCTTTTCTTGTCTCTTCTTTTTAAAGTTTATTTGTTTTGGGAGAGAGAGCGAGTGCACACATGCATGAGCAGGGGAGGAGAAGAGAGAGAGGAAGAGAGGGAATCCTAAGCAGGCTCTGAACTGTCAGTGCACGACTTGGGGTTCTATCCCATGTACCGTGAGATCATGATCTGAACCAAAATCAAGAGTCCGACACTTAACCGACTCAGCCACCCAGCACCACCCCCCACCCCCAATGGCTGTTTTCTAGTTCTGACATTTCCTTTATAGTAATCAGCTGTTTCCTTACTGTAAGGAAGAGCTTTCTAAAGGAGGAATTTGGAAATTCAGAAGATGCTTTTTGTTTTTTTTTCTCTTGAGGAGTTAAGCTTCTGCAATTGAATACCAGACTTCCAAAACTGTTGTCTTTTAAACTCAAAGCTGAGCTATCAGGCCTTTGTTCTAGGCTGTACTTACTTTCTCTCTGAGGTACTGAATATACAGAATACCGCTGAGAATATGGGTAAAGAGCCACAGAGTCACAAGAATAATTTTAGCCTCGGAAAAGGCCTTAGTTTAAAAATCTCCAAATATCACTTTGCTGTAATTGTTTTTAGTATTGCAAGATTTCATATTTTTGCATCTTTATAGATGCTTCAGTGTAAAAGTGAGTGAAACTCCTATTAAGAAGGAATTATGGGATCAAAAATAAATATACTACCACTTGACAAGAACTTTAAACCTTTTTGTCTTTTCCACAAAAGTAGCTTATCCCTCTTCCACTCAAGGCTTATACCACTGATTTGCTAGATTAACTCCTCTTCAAAGATTGTGTGGGATTAAAGTTGGAATGACAATTCCAACAATGCTACATTATTATGAATTCCAAATTAGGGAACTGGAATTGATACATTTCTTTTTACTATCAGAAGTTGTATGTTTTGAATTTGGTAATATTTGTATGTTGGGGTGAATGTATCTTCTGTGTACTTCCTTTGCCTGTATCATCTCAAAGAGGTGCTTGAATCAAGTTTGCTTTAAAGATAGGTGGTGGATCCTGTAATATCTTTAAGATTCATCATGTTTCGGAAGCAAAAATATTTCTTTGCCACAACCTGGCAGTTTCTCACGTTAAGACATAGAAGAGACTTAAAAAAATAGGATACTTATTTATGTTAGCAGTTTCTTACAAATATCTAATGTCTCAATTAGCTAAATAGGAGAAAATAAAATAAATTACATTGAAACAAGAGTTGAAAAACACAATTTCCTAATTTCTTTATGGGTGTAAGCCCAAGAGTGTAAATCCTAAAAGGAAGAAACCTAACTGGTAAGAGTCTTCTGGTTTTCTCTTTCAAACACATGCTTTTATCTTTTTTTTCTTTTTTTAATTTAATTTTTTCTTTTTTAAAATTTACATCCAAATTAGTTAGTATATAGTACAACAATGATTTCAGGAGTAGATTCCTTAGTGCCCCTTACCCATTTAGCCCATCCCCCCTCCCACACCCTCTCCAGTAACCCTCTGTTTGTTCTCCATATTTATGAGTCTCCTCTGTTTTGTCCCCCTCCCTGTTTTTATATGGTTTTTGTTTCCCTTCCCTTACGTTCATCTGTTTTGTCTCTTAAAGTCCTCATATGAGTGAAGTCATATGATATTTGTCTTTCTCTGACTGACCAATTTCACTTAGCATAATACCTTCAGGTTCCATCCACATAGTTGCAAATGGCAAGATTTCATTCGTTTTGATTGCCGAGTAATACTCCATTGTATATATATACCACATCTTCTTTATCCATTCATCCATCGATGGACAGTTGGGCTCTTTCCATACTTTGGCTATTGTTGATAGTGCTGCTATCAACATGGGGGTGCCTGTGTCCCTTCGAAACAGCACACCTGTATCCCATGGATAAATGCCTAGTAGTGCAGTTGCTGGGTTGAAGCATAGTTCTATTTTTTAGTTTTTTGAGGAAACTTCATACTGTTTTCCAAAGTGGCTGTACCAGTTTGCATTCCCAACACAATGCTTTTATCTTGATGACTAACCCTATATCTGAAATCTTTACTTTGGGGACCTAAAACAAAAAGAAAAATACAAAGTTACTCAGTGTGCGTATTCTCTATAATATGAATGTTGGGATTTGGATACATTAATTCCAGGGAGTTAAAGCGATATTTTAGCACACACTTGTACATCTTCTTTGCACAGAAGTTCTAGGGAAATGCTTTTTGACTGTCTGGATTTTCTCCTGTTCATTTCAATGGCTAAAGTGTACAAAGATAATTATAATTTGTACTTGGAAGTGACATTTTAAGAAATGTATATGTGGAGGGGATTGAGGAATATTGCAGAGAATATTAGATCTTACGTTTAAACAATTGTTCTTGTAGACACTTTCCCACTTATTTTGTGTATTGAACAAGTGAGTTTTTAAATCAACAGATCCTTCTTGCTATGAGCATGAAGACACCTTTTTCTCAGTGTTTCACACTCAAGTCCCTCCAGAAGAATATGAAAACCGTAAACAGAATGTCAATCAAGGTATGTTTTAATTTGTGTGATTTTGCATATTGTCACAAGAAATATAGCTATATATAGAAATATTCACAAATGAAATGATTTGATCTGATTTAATCCAGAGGCAGGTGAAAGTGACTGAATGAATCAAGATGAAACAAGATTGGTCATGCATTAATCATTGTTGAAGTTAGTTGTTGAGGGTTTATCATAGCATTCATTCTACTTTTGGATATTTAAAATTTTATATGATAAAGAGTTAAAGAAAAGCTGGCTGCAAGTAATGGAAAACTAACTTAAGCAAAAAAGAAAATTTATGGAAACAATCCTGGAGGTAGACAGCTTTTTTGATTCCCAAAAGCATATTCTGTGGTTAATCATTGAGAGGGAAACTCAGTGCCTGAATTGCAGAGAAGATACCAACTGATCCAGCTTGGGTTAAATGCTTACCACTGGTCCAACCAGCTCATCAAACCGAGCAAGGGTTGGGGTTACTATAGAAACATGGAAACTTCTGTTCCTGTTGATCACCACCAGGATGGGGAGAAGAGGACATTTCTAGTGAGACAGTTCTGACCAGGCAGTCCAATGTTTTTACTATAGTTTATTGAAAGTGTATTTTAAAGAAATCATTATAAATGTAGATGTGGATGCATTTAATATGAGTTATCTTAATATTGTATTTTTAAGAGTATATGAAATTTTGACGGAATGAATAGACTTTATATTTCAGCTCAAAAGACTATATACAAGTTGTAATATGGGGAAAAGTTCTGTTTTGTATCTAAGGAGGCCATGCACCAAAAAAGTAACTCGTACTTTAACTGTTGGTAGTTAATTAAGAAACATTATTGATTAAAGAAATAAAATCCCAATAATAAAGCCCAGATTTATTTGCCTAGACACTTGTAACTTAAATTTGAGTGAAACTTTTTTCTTACTCAAATTTCTTTTTCTTTGAAAAGAATTTAAATCCAGAGATCTTACTCTCTTCCCGGTTCTTTCTAGGTATTCTTATCAAAATATATTCTTTAATTATTAAATTTGTGTTGAATCTTTGATAATTAGCTATAAATATGCCAACTTACTAGCTCCCTTAGTCCTTTTTATTGATGTACCCTCTCTTATAAGGCAGAGATAAGTTTTAAGTAAACCTTTTCCGTGTTGAGCTACTGGTTGGTGTTTTACCCTCTTGGACTTTAATGTGGCCATTTGTCTTCCCTATGCCTGTTTTTAGAGCTTTAAAGAAGCTTTCACATGATCTTGCTTTAAATGCTTTGAACATGACGACAGTGAAGAAAGATATTTAGTGAAGGGAATAAGAGTCCATAAGTATTTTTCTCACCCTTGTTTTGAGCACCCAGGGTCAGAAGGTGACTCAGGCCTCTTTTCAAAGGTTGGGAAAAACTGACAAAGTGAGATGAGCTGTAAGGCTTTGTGCGGATGGGATGTGGAACATCCAGGACACTTATGCCCAGACCTTGCTTAAAAGACAGGTGTGAACAAACACTTACTGTTCAGAGAGGGTGCTGGCATATTAATAGAATCACAGGATAGATGACTCTAGTCTTTTGGGGAAGTTTTGTTTCATATAAAGACTAAGATAAAATATATTGTATTAATTAATTAATTTCCTCTGAGTATAGGTGGCACACATGTTATGCTAGTTTGAGATGTACCACATAGTGATTTGACAGGTTTATATGTTAATCCACACTCAGAAGTGTAGCTCCCTCGGCCACCATGCCACACTATTATGATGTCATTGACTCGATTCCCTACGCTGTGCCTTTCATCCCTGTGACCCATCCATTCCATAATTGGAAACCTGTATCTGCCACTCCTCTTCACCCGTTTTGCCCATCTCCTACCCCCCCCCCCCCTCACCGAGACCATCACTTTGCTCTCCATACTATAGGTCTGATTTGGCTTTTTGTTTGTTTGTTTATCCATTTGTTTTGCTTTTTAGATTCCACATATGAGCGAAATCATATGGTATTTGTCTTTCTTGGTCTGACTTATTTCACTTAGCATAATTCCTCTAGGTTCATTTGTGTTGTCGTAAATGGCGAGATCTTACTTTTTTTTATGGCTGAGTAATATTCATGTGTGTGAGTGTGTGTATGTATTATATATCTTTTTTACCCATAAGAATAAATCTCCATATGTATATTAGGTTTCTGGATTTGGAGTTTGGAAGTTTTTCTATGTGTGTTATATATTTTAAATGTATGTATAAGGTAAAATTGTAGCATACTGGACAATTATAATTGTGAAAAATTTTGAACTTTTTTTAATATTAGATTTTACCTATGATGTGGAAGGAAATGAGTCATTGATCAGAGCAGAAAAGAAACCTTTCTCAAATACAGAAAAGATTAAGCTCAGGGGTAAACACAGCCAGGATTTTATTAAACGAAACATTGAGGTATGTACTTAGAAATTTAGAAACCAGAATATGGGATTAAATGAGTTATGAAAATGAAAATAGTTGTGTTCAGTGTCTTTAAGTATATATTTCTTTGATCATGACACATATGTATGTAATTGAAACAGTCTATATAAATGAAAGAAAAATTTTATGGACCAGTACTTAACTTTACTAGTTTTAATTCCATCCTGTCTTATTCTACCTCTTTTAAAAATGCTAGCTGCAACTCAATACGTTTATTTCACTACCCAGAAATGAATCCGGTTCCTGCAATTTGAAAAACATTTATTTAGGTAATAGCGTCATACAATGCTTCCCAGATTTTAAATTGCATATTAGTAAAATTGGCTTTTGAAAGTAATGAGACTGATGTTATAGCTGGTGCATTTAGAAATTTGCATGGAAAATGCTCCTGGCACAGCTGGAGAGGCCAGTTGGTTGTCTGTCCCCTGACCTCTCCAGCTGAGCCTCCAGGAAGCCTATCACTTGTCACTTGCCTTGATTATTTCAACCTTGATCTTCCAGACCCTACAGCCTGACTTGGTGTCCTCAAGGCAAACTAACCAAGGGAAAAGGGGTTCCCCTATTAGGCCAGAATGCTGATTAATTAATTAACAGTGAGAAATGTAGGTGCAGTGGGCAGAAGGCTTGTGGCAAACCACTCAGGCAGTCAGGTTACTAGAAAACTGCATTGGTGAGTGTAAAGTTATTCATAAGAGCAGAGAGTTAAATAATTCCTCCCAGTTCAAGCCTGATGCTTCTTCCACAACTGCCACGTCATTTCCAGGTAGACTAGATTTGTGCGTCAATGTGCCACTGCCAGGACCGGCCTCTGGGCCTCTGGTTTTTCTCTTTATGTTCGTCTGATCTGAAGGAAACCTCCAACCCGATCTCTCTGTGCTGGCCCATTTTATGTTGATTTATTTAATTTGCCAAGAGCAGTAGCATTTTCCCCACACCCGGGGTTCTTGCTGACACAGCGGGGGGGGGGGGGGGGGGGGGGGGGGGGGGGGGGGGGGG